AGGCAATTGTAGCAAGCCCAATGTTTTTTGCAGATATCTTCTTAGCTAGCTATACTCTGCCTGGGTGTCTTGACTGCTCGAGAGGAGGAATTTTGGCCCTTTGCAGTAGGGTATCCATTTTCTTTATTAGGCACAGAATCTGTTTACACCTAGTGTGCTTTAGGGGGTGATTTGTTGAGGTGCGTGCCAGTAAATCTCACATTTGGCCCTGTGGAGTGCCCCTGAAATTCATAGTGGTGGAACCAGGCTGAGTGTGGAGAATGGGAGGCATCAAATCAATGTTATTAATTCAGGTAAGAATCTCTTCACCTCATTAAAATCTGAAATGTTTCAGAATAGCATTGTACTTTTAATAGAATCAGTCAAGTTATAGTAAGGTTTTATTCTGCCTTTTTGAGTAGCTTATTGTTCTAACTCTGACATACTAAACTGTTGGCGTTTGTATAAGCTGTTAAACATCTGCGTCTTTCATTTCAGAGCTGGCTACATTTCAGTACTGGATGAATGATCCCTATATCACAGCTAATAAGTGTTTTGGGATCCCAAGTATACGCTCTTTGGACAGTACCACAAATGTATGCAATTCTATGAAATGTATCAGTGAGTACTATTCTCAAGAGGCTGCAGCCTAAGAGATCCCACAGGACAAAGGACACAGAGAAAAGTAATTGATAGTAATGAACTTGTTTGTGCATGTGTCACCACTTGTCTCTGCTGAATAAAATCAGAAGTGTTCAACACTTCATTAACATAAATTACAGGGTTCTATTCTTCTGAAGTGAGACAATAAGGCCTACACCTGCTAGTACTGTGAAGTTCTTCGTGATCCCAGCATGCAGCTCACTGACTGACATCATAGACTCAAGTGGTCTTGGATTTGTCCCAGTATCATGAATGTTCATAAATAGAACTAGTCTCATCTGTCATGGTTCCACTGGAATCAGTGGGAAGATACCATGGTAAGACAAACGATGTTAAGTAAATATATAGAATGGGATCACAACACTATCACAGTAAATGCTAACTCTGTTTTAAACTTACCTGAGGCAGGACTTCAACTTAATCAGCCATAAATAGTGTACAAGATGCCTATTTCCTGTGTGAGTACAGACTACAGAGATGATTCTTGGTTCTTGGGACTGGTCTCATTACTGAGACTGGTTTTACCAGAGCAATCTTTTTTTTTTTTTTTTTTTTTTTTGCAGTTTTTGCACTGCTTCCTGAAGAAGACAAAGAATCTGCACGGTTTTGCACCAGCAGTGGTTCCCAATAGTTTGACACGTTTGTTCAAGTCATGGTGATGTGAGTTGATAGGGCCAGTGTGTACCACAAATCTGTACTTCCTCTGTTTTCCAGGTAGAAAGGAAAGGGTGCTCTCATGACATTTTCCATTATTACTAAACTTATTAAAAAAAAATATGAGAACAAAAATTACCTCAGTTGTTTCTGTTAGTGGTGCTGTAGTGATCTGATCTAATGTTAGCTTTGTTATTCCTGATCACTGCCATCCTCCTTTCCCTTTCACCCCACCCAAGTGGCAGGGGCTGCACCAGAGAAAGGCAGAAGTCTGCTGATTCCTCTTGCAACCCAGCTAAGGTGCAGCCCTTTACAAGGAGACAGTAAATTGAAATAAATTGAAGTAAGTCTTTGTCATAGGATAAAGCAAAACCCATCTTTTCTGAAGAGGCAGGCCTTTCTGTGGTTGAAATGCTCTGAGCTGTAGAAAGTTGGAAAACTTCCATCTGCATGGCAGCATGTCCCACAGTCACAGGTTGGTTGATGGCCATGAATTCTACATGCTCCTTGTTTCATTGGGGAATGCTGCACTTCCTCAGTCTGTATGGTAGGTCGGAGACCCTCAAAGTGGAAGGAGGGTAGTGCTGATGGAAGGTGAGAAGTGATGTATTTAAATGGTCATTTTAAAAACAAATCAGAAAAACATGAAGAGAATTTGAGAGAATGCATCAGATGACAGGGACCAAAGGAGAGTCAAATAATCTCCCCAGCTATGGTTCTGTTGTCAGTATTTGCAATTTCTATTCTTTAGGCTTTCTTCCAACTGGGGAGGCACCAGCCCTGTATGAACATGTCATCAGAGGTTTCTGCTTAAGGGTTTCTTTTGTAGGTATATGCAGCCACACTTTCAATTGTGCTCCAAAGCTGAGCAGGACCCTGTACTGCAAAGATATTATGGGGTTCCCTGGGAGGACTGGCATGGCAATTCCAATTGCATGCCATTTCCCTACTTGTTGTAGGGTCTTTTGTGGGGGCTGACTGGCTATGTGCCATTTTTTGTGTTACCAAAGAAAGCAGTGCTTTCTCATGTGTGTTTTAAAATAAAAATTTCACCATTTGAAAGCAGCATTTGCTAGCAGATACCACATGGGGGGGTGTCTGCAATACAGGAAACTCCCTTTGTATTTATTGTAGGAAAGCAGTACCTCTAAATGACTTTGGCTGCCAAGTAGGTAAATACTGTAAAAGTGTCACAGAAATGCAAACTAGCTTTTATGATGCAATTAGTGTACTTATAAATCATGTTGTATGAAGACATTCCCCCCTCTTCCCCCCCCCAGAAAAAGGAATAAAAGGAAAAAGAGGAGGAAAAAGAAAGCTAAGTACAAAACCAATCAGGTTCAGAGATGCCTGCTCTTAGAGACATCTGCATTAAGCATATAGGTAAATGGAAATCCCTTGCTGGCTGCCTGGTTAATTGGCATTGAAATACTAGGAAGATGCTCATGTAGCTCTTAACACTTAATTGTTCCCTTTTTTAACAACTTCATGACCTGTTTATTTCACACACAGTTAAATAAGTATTAGTTAAAGCAGTTTATCAGTTACAGCCTACTGCCTCTTCTCTTACTTGCTTAATGTGCTTCCTCACCCTTGGTTTGCTTTCTCTTTTTGCCCTTTCTCTCTGGTGATCCTATTTATCCTCCAAGCACACTTTGGTTTCTTCCAGGAGCTCAGGCCCTGCTGGTGCTGCCTGCTGTTCCCTGGGTCCTGGGGCAACCTGGATGTGGTGGTGCTGTCTGAGAATGCATGTGGGTTCTGGAGCCTTGTACTTGTTTGGAGCAGGCACTAGAGCAGCTGCTGGGTTATCAGTAATAATTGGGGTATCTTACACTGTTCCTTCTTTCATCTTTTACTTCAGAAACATGTGATCATCTCTGATTGCAACTCTGATTTTTCCCGAAAACACCTTGGTTCTAGTCCTTCAGTGGACTTGTTTCTTTGACATGTTTGTATTCAGCAGTGGTGGTAAAGGTCTACTCCTTTTTGTTCTCATCTTATTTTGCCTTCCATCCTTAGTGCATGTGCTGCTGTCTGATGCTTGTTTTTTTTTTTTTTTTTCCTGTCTAAAAAATTATTTTCAAGCAGCTGTTCAATAGTAGGTTTTTGTCTGAGTTCATGTGCCATGACACCAGATCCTAGATACTGTTATGAGTTGAAAAAGGAGAGGCAACAAAAACCGCTCACCAGATTTGGCGTATATTTAGTACAAGCTATGGAAGTTAAATGAGGTGGTGCAGCAGTCCCTGCTCTGTTTGTGCATTGTTTTATTTGGGTTATTACTTCCTTAGCAAAGGATGGTTTGGTATGTGTGGTGTGCCTCGGGGACTTTACCTCAAATGAATCTGGAATCATTACAAAGTGATAAACAAAAAGCAACGCGTGCAGGAATCAATCACTCACCTCCAAAATGTAAGTGTCTTGGGACAACAAGTGGAAGTGGTTTCATAGGAATATTGTAGGTTTGGACAGGAGGATACTGACAGAAGTTGGAGGGGATATTCAGGGAAGGAGAATACATTCTTAGACCTTGGTGTGTAGCCAAAGCACCTGGCATGTCATGCTCCTGGACTTCTGGCAGAAATGTTCTTGGATCTGTAGGAACCTGAAGGGTTAATGTAGTGCTCTGAAGCCTTTCCTGAAGGATGGTGCCTGCAACAGTGTAGCTCCTGGGGCAAGGTTCAGGCCTCCAAGGAGGAATGCTATGGAGGGACTTGGCCCCACTGTTTCTGCAAGCAAATTCATGCTTTTCTTTGGAGGAGTGCTTTAGAAGGAAGGTTTCTGGCATTTCAGAGGTTCTTCCCTTGTGGGATTGTAAGTGTGGCTATTCAGAGCGAGCCATAACATGGGACGCTAAAAAAGATGTAAGAGGCTTTTTTTTTAAAAGCACATTCTCTGGGTTTGCTGGGCTCTGCAAACAAAAAAACCAAAAGGGTTCTACATTCAAAGATGCACCTTTCTGTGATCATTATCCTTATTATCCTTACTTACATTGCCTTGCTCATGTGTATTTTGAAAGACTAATTTATTCTGGGATTTATGTGATTGAGTCCAAAAAGTGGTCCTATTTGACAAAGGAGAAAGTATTGAATGCCACTTGGTCTGAATTCCACATCCTGTGGAAAGGCAACATGGGATGTGCCAACCCATGATGCTCCTCCCCCACCACTACTATTGTCTGCAATGAAGGATGGGATTTCTTGAGAATGATGGGCAGGAGGAATGAAAAGGAATGGGTTCTCTTCTGGACTTTGGGACTGAGTGTCTTGCACCTGGTCATAAATTCACATGGCCCCTCATAAAAGGGGAGCAGGTTACTTTCTATTTGTTCTGAAAACTTGCTTGAATTTATGTGCACTGGAAACCTACTGCAGGCAGGTAGGTTTTGTTTCTTCCTTTTGCATTTGTGTGTGAAAACTGGAATATTTTAACCAGTGTTCTTACAGGAACTCTCTCTGGACAGATATGACGGTGGATTCACTTCTACATGCACAGTGGAGAGGGAGTCAAAACCTTCTCCCTTGCATGGCTGAGTGCTTGGCTGCAGATGGGTGGCCTTCTAACAAACCTAATTACTTCTGGTTTTGCATGAAATTGATTTCCATGCAAGGATGCTGAGTTGCTGTGTGACTCTCTAATGGCTTTTCTCTCTTTTCTCTCTTCTCCTTTTCTCCCTTCTGCTTGCCATGAAAATACTTCAACAGATGTCAATCACATTCCAGGTAAGTATTACCCTCAGCAAACTGAAGGGCTGCTCTTTGCAGAGTTGGTTGTGGGCAGTTACAAAGGGCAGAAACCTCATCTGGCCTCCTGGGAGCATTCAGCACAAATCTGCATCCTGGATTTCACAAGGTCTGGATTGCAAAGTCTATGATGAAAGGAAGACTTTGTGACTTTCACTGCTATAAAACATTCTTCTTCTGAAATTAAGCTGTGTTGGTCAGTTAAAGGGATGTTTTCTGAATGAAAATGGCATTTTAAAAGTTGGTTGTATTACTAATAAGATGGCATTAAACACTGCATTATATATACAGTTTTTCTTATATGTATATGTGCAGGAATACAAATCTAGCTCATCTTCCCGCTCCTAGCATAGTTTGCTCTGTTTGCTAGTCCTGCTGAAAACCACCTGGTGTTCATTTCCCCTAACAAAGAGTTTTATTGTTCTTATTTTAGGTTTAAAAAAAAAAGTGAGGATGTTTCTGGCCAAATGTAAATGTATGATTTTACTTAGGTCTGAAGGCTTTTGTTCCCTACAGTGTGCTAATAATTCATTTAAAAGAATTGCGTTGCTTACTTGGGGAATTCTTCCCATAGGAAGCATTTTACCACAGAGAACTCCAAGCCTCCCTCTCTATATTGTTTTCTCATTGTTGCATGGATCCAGTTCCTCTAGCTTTAGCTACAGGAGTTAATTGAACTAGAGCACCTTACTCTGCTGGCCACTGAAGCTTAGGAAACTCTTTTTTTTTTTTTCCTCATGCTCAGGCAGCACCACCTGGTTTATCAGTGTGTGAAATGGAAATGAGAGCCAAGCAGCAGTGTTTCTAGGGGTGTGGTGGGATGATGAGAGAACTGAAGCTTTTTCTTTTTCACTTTATGCATAATATTTGCTATACCCAACTTGAGGCTGGAATGATTTTTCCTTTCAGTTTGCTTCTTTCCTACCAATAGACAATTAGGTTTTGTGGAACTTTTCAGAAAGGTGCAGTGAAGGCCAGCAGCTTGAGTAATTTCAGTGTATTTTTTTAACCCTTGGGACTGCTGTCACTTGTCACCTTGTTGTACCAAGATCCCTTGCAGTCTGTGTGCATCTTAAGTAACAGCAATAGGAATAAAAGTGGCCAAATGGCAGATGTTGCTTGGCATGCCTTAGAAAAAAAGGCTCTGTACACCATAACCTGCAGGGGCTGAACATACACCTTTCCTGCTCCAGTCCGAGGTGTGCAGGGACTCCTGTCACCCATGGGATCTGAGGATCTTGCAGAACAAGCACCAAAGGCTCAATGCCACAGGTCTTCCCCACCACAGCCTGAAGCTGTTGGTGCCTGTGGCAGTGGAGAGTGCTTGAACTGGGAAGGTATGGTGTTGCTATGCTCTACCAAAACACAGCTCTCTTATTTGTGATATGCTACGAGCAGGTGTTGTCTTGCACAACAGCAGGGCCATCTCCAAGGTGTGCAGAGGAGAACTGCATCACTGACAGGAGCCCAGGCAGAGAGAGGCAGCACAACAAAGCTGGGACCATGCTGTGGGTCCCACGTAGTGGTGCATCTTTCTGTTCTGCAGATGGGTTCTTCTGCCTCACTTCCCCCTTATCCTTTTCATTTGTATTTTTGGATGTACTATTTTTATTCTCCTAATCACTGATACATGTGTTCATTCTCACTGCTTTTGTACTTTCTCTCATGGCTTTGTAGTCACACTTGGATGCTCTCTTCCATGTACTGTCAGAGTCATCTGTGTGTGTTCTCATTCCGACAGCTTCCCACCTCTAATTATAAGGCTCTGTAGCTGCTTGCTCCTAGACTTCATATCCACCTGCTCAGCTCCTCTTGGGAAGAGCACAGCTGCTGCTGCATGCCTGGGCTGCCCCCATGGGTTTTGCTGTGGACCTTCCCTCTACTGAGCTGTATGGAGCTTTTAGTTCTTTCCTTTCATCCAGCTACCCAGGTTGTGAGGATGGAGCCCCAGAGTCCTGCCAAAATGGTTTCTTTAACCATTCACAGTTTGCAATATAAATTAAGGATTTTATGATCTACTGGTAGCTGTTTACCCACAGGCAGCAGAACAGCTGTAAAGGGACCACTGATTAACTGAATGAATATTCTTGTCAGTTGGACTGGTCAGAGCTAATCCTTCAGTAGAAGATGGTTGTGAATTGGCTGGGACTGGCTGCAGTGGGGACCACAGCACAGGGCTCTGGTGGATGCAGTTCCTGCAAGGTGGTCTTGTTCAAAGTAAACAGAGATATAGTAGGGATGAACTGAATGGACACAGCCCTAGGAATGATTTAGTTAGGGTCCTGAGGAGAAATTAGTGATTGTTTGCCTGAGCAAGACTTCAAAAAGGATGCTCATGCTTGTCAAGGGCCTCTGCATACTAGCAGTTTTTTTCATCTGGTTTTTAATCTTTCAAGCTCTGTTTAAGTGGTACCCATATGCTGAGTTTTGCTTCCTTGAATGTGAATTCTGCTTCTTGGGCATGAATACACATGAATTGTGTGGCAGACTATTTGAGGTTTCCTATTTGCAGAAGGTATTAGATACCAAACAGCAGAAACCACCTGTGCCATGCCTTCAATGATACTTGCACAGGTGGTCAAAAGCTCTTTGTAACAGCATATATTCTTTACAGATGCTACCACTGTTCTTGTTTTGCATGTCCTTTACAGATGCACTGTCCACAAACAGGATTCTCTTGCACTGAAATGTTAATGTTTTTCAGCTCTATGCCCATCCGTTTCTGAGAAAATAGCATTAGTGATGACTGTGTTTAGAACAAGAATTCCAGGTCCAGAAGCCTCTTTTTTTCAAAGCAGATGCTGTGGAACAATTTTAAGAAACAAAGCTAGCATTGCTCTTTTTCTGGTATACCTTCATAGTTTCTGGTGGTCACTGCCCTAAGGACTTCCTGACCTGACAATGTTGCATCTGAATCATGGTGTATTTACAGTTATCTAATGACCTGTTTTCTTTGGACACTTTGAGGCTTTTGTTTTTTACCTGCTCATAAATATTTTTCCTGTACAGTAGCCTGTTGTTTAGTTAGGCAACTGTGGAAAGTAGTTCCTTTTGTTGTTACAGCTGTTAGTTGAGAATTTCATTCAGTGACTCCTTCTCCTTGTTTACTGGCTAATAGGGGAAAAAATGCTGTGTTCATCTGTTCTGTGTTATTTGGGAATTAATCTCTATATATTGTCAGGTATTTCATTTCTAAGCTGAGGAATCCTAATCTGTGCTTGATAGTACTGCCTTTCCTACTTGTATGCCGATTTGGTCAGGTGCTCTGATTTACACTGATTTACATCTTATCTGCTGTCCAGAAAATGCATTCACCCTCAGCTCTTGCTTCCTGCATATGTTCTCTTCTGCATGCGGTCATCTTTGCTGATACTTGCATCTGTATTTCCATGCTTTCAAACACCAACCTCTTCCTAACCCTCCTCATGTGATTTGATGTCTACTTCTGCCCATGGATCACGGGATAAACGACTTTCTCTTCAGCTCCCATTTCATGCTATTTCTCTCTTGATCACTCAGACTTGATGTCACTCATGCTGACTTACTGCTCCTGATAATGACAAAACCTATTCTGGAATTATATAGCAAGGGAAGCAAAGGGGATGGAAAAGTGGAGCTAGAACAGCTGCTATGTGTAATTGGATTGGAAGTGGGCCTCTAGCTACAATAACAGAACTGTGCTCCCAGCTGGCTCCTTGCAGGCCCCTTGGCTGCTGAGCACCTCATAGATGAATCAAACAAAAATGACTGCTCCCCAGCCTGTGCTGCTGCTTGCTTGGTTATATGAAATGGGTGTTGTACATGCCAGCAGCCAGCAAATCAGGTCAACCTCTTGGCAGAGCTGACCTGTCTAGCAGGTACAAGATTTGAACTAGATCTCAGAATGATTTTTTTCTTTAGCTATTTTTTCACATCACTCCATACAAGGCTTTTGCTCCTTATCCTGTGTCCCATCCTTTGGCCTTGCTGGGAATGCACAGGTTTTGGTATGTGGGTTCTCTTAGGGTGCTTCCTTGCTGTTTGATATTTAGAAAACCTTGAGATGCTTATTTTATGCTAAATACCTGAGGGAAGAAACTCTCCTTTCCAACTAAAAGAGGGAATGGCTGAGGGAAATGAGGGAGGAAGGCTCAGAGAGGAAAGAAGCTTGTTTCCTAAGCAAGAACTTGTTCCAGGAAGTTAGGATAGGAAGTGTAAAGAACAAAGCCCATCACTTATCAGAGTGCTCTCCTTTTCTGAATGTGTTATTTTTTAAAAAACCATGGTTTGCATGATTTCTTCACTAACTCCATAAAGGACTTGCATGTGTGTGCTGGACTGGGAGACACATACTGCATCTGTTACTGTTTGAATGGGTCAGGGGACTGGTACCCAGGAAAGCATCATATGTGGATAAGCCTGCCTCTGGGGAGAGCTGGCTGGCTCTGCTGCCTGCCGGCCTAATTTCCCTCCATTATGAGCTTTTGAGCTATTCATCTGGCAGCATCATTACAAGGGAGTCTGCCCACCCTAACAGAACAATTCAGCAGTGTGCACACCCACTCACATGTGCTCATTCCCAGAGCATGGGCCCAGTGTCATGGGACAGGCTGTAATTAACTAGTTGAGGGAGTCCATCTTTTTTTTGTTGCTGTAATCTGCTGTCACTGTCAGCTGTGCTTTGTTCTCTCCCCACCTTCTTAGGTTTTAGTGGTTTTATTTTTCCTTTTTAAATGGTAAGTGCCCAAATGCAGTGCTGAGGGGAAGTGAGGGATGAAGTTCAAACTGGCTTCAAGGTTTCCTTCATGCCCTCTTCCATTCTGCGGAATGCCCCTAGTGAATTCTTAAAGACAAGTCTGCTGCTTAATTACATCGCTCTTTCATACTATTGTACTCTGAAGTTACTTTTAAAAGTGTCCTTCTGGCTTCATAAGAATCCAGTGTTGGCCCTTGATACTTTATACAATTAGAGCTACTTAATTCTACTATTTTGATATGGAAAGCAGATGGCTCAGAGTGTTTTTTTTTTTTTAAATGTAGTTCTTTGAAGCATTGCTTTGAGATCAAGGGAGATTAATATTAACCTTTAAGAGAATTATATTGATTTGGTAGTAGGTTAAAGAAATATATAAAAAAACAAAAACTCCCAAGTCTGAATAGGAAAAGTCATAGCAGGCATAGATCATGGCCAGTGAGCAGAGTTGTATGATAAGCAGATGCTTATTGTCTAAGAAACCTGTTGAGAGCCTCCCTCCAAAGCCATGCGGTTGTCCTTATTGTGGTTCACATCTGTAGTTCAAGAACAGCAAGTCACCAGTTCCCTGGCTTTGATGTTATGTTTTGAACTTGCTGCCTATCATTTTTCTTGGGAAGTAGCCAATAGATTACTGTAGGACTGATGACATCTGTTAAGAAAAAACTCAGCTCTTGACCAGGGCTGGGGCTTCTTGTTGGAAAAAAATCTAGGATTAAAAGGGAAGGCTGAAACATATTTCACCCGAATTTAGGAGAAAATTCATATTTCATATAGCATTCCCCTGGAATGGGTTGCCTGTTGACCCAAGCTGTGATTGTACTTGTGAATAACATGTTTTGGGGCTTGACGAGTTCAGTTAGTATCCTGAGTTGGCCAAAAGCTTTTCTAGCTTTACAGTGAATGCCTAAATAACACAGTGATAAACGTCCCCAGTGTTGTGGCAAAATCTGGTCTAGTTTTTAGGTCTGCATCTGCACACTCCTCAGACCTTTTGCACTTATTACATGCCCTCCAACAAGAAGTGCTACCCTATACCACCTGAAGATGACTTTGATTTTTCTGATATGAAAATATTTTAGTACCTTGTTGTATCTTGAAATTGATGCAAAGGTGAAACAGTGATGTCAGTTCATGTTTTCTGTGTTGATTTTACTGTGACTAATTCAAGGTTTTTGTTGTACATGCTGCAAATGTCACAGATTTTAGCTCCCCAAAGTTGAAGGTTTCAGTTGTTAATTATATTTTACTGGGATAAATTCATTCATTTTCATGCCTACTTTACAATGCAATGAAGGAAAGTTTTCAGATGAGGAGTATTGGTAAATTGTTTCATTACATTATTGTATCTAATAGTGAATCTGGAATTCTGTTGGTGTTAATGTTAGCTAAAACAAGGATCAATATCAGTGGACAAGTTAAGAGCTCATACTTCCTCTCACAGAGATTCACACCAAGCCCGTGCTGTGGGCCAGAAGGGCAAGTGTGTTTGGGAAGTGTTCTTGATTCTGGGCTACAAGCGAAGGACTTTGGACTGTGTCTGGCTGATGGGCCTTGTAGAAGAGGCATACAGCACTGAATTTCTGAGGATGGGAAGAGATGATATTGAAATTCCTGACATTTGGGGATTTTTATAGCTCCTCTTGGCTTCTTCAGAGAGAAAGAGGTCACATGTAAGATGTGATTCAGAGTGCTTAGTGCAGGTTTCTGCCATCTACTCTGTGGAGATTTCTCTTTGTTGGTGTCCATCGTCTCCAACTGGACACCACTCTACTGCACTTCTGTGCTTTGTTGGTCCTAACAATTATACTTTTTTCTTCTCCTGGCCTTTTACAGTGACTTTTGTATGACTTTCAAGCACCCAGTTGGATTGGGCTACGATTTGCATTTCAAGAATGATGGGCTCAGTGGCCATAAATATAGGCACAAATACAACCTACCCTCTTAGCACAGAAATACTAATCACTGAAATTATATCTTGTAACATAGAGCAGAAATACATCCTACAATATCAAATCTGCTATGTTTATTTATAGCCAAAACTAAACTAAAAACCATCGAAAGCTATGTTGTGCTTCTGATTATTTTTCTAAATCCACAGTAATCTTCAAGAATGTTAAGGTATTTGCATTCCTTAGACTTTACAATTATAAATCCCTTTATCTGGCTTGGAGTTCTCTGTGGGTGAACATACTCTTGGAATGATCTGGGTTTTAGATTTCTCAGCAAATGCATAAGAAAAAAAATACAAAGGGGAGATAAATAAACAAATTCAAACTCAGCACGCTGCTTGTTGAAAAATTTCATTCTAATAAATTCATTTGACCTCTTAGTCTCCATGAAATTAAAGAGGTCACAGCTTTGTTTGGTCAATAAACTCACTTCAGATAGGGATGACTGTGTGCATAGCTATGCATGCACTAAAATCTCTGCTGTATTAAGGGCTGCATGAGGTAGGAGATGTAAAGGAGGAATAAAGCTAAACAGAAGGTCAGGGAACTATGTGTGGGAGGTGTCACTCATGGCTCAAGTTGATAGGACTTCGATTTTTGTATGTTTTGTATTTTGTTAGTTTCATGAGTAATATGCCACATAATGGATAGGTCATCTGGTGTTTGATGGAAGAGCATGTTTTTAATAGTATCTAAAGGATATTTGTAAAAAATACAGCTGTACAGTAAGCTGGGTGTGGAATTGTTTGTAATTGGGACAAACAAGGTTACGTCAGAGTCATGAGAGAGAGAGACTTCAGCTAGCCCACAGACTACCACAGAGCTGGCAGTGACTGTCACCTCTGAGAACTGTATTGTTTCCTGACTATACCTTAAATTGTTAAACTGGTGTAGCTTTAGCTATAGAGTTCAGAATTTGCATCCTTGATTCTTAACAGAAAATAAATAGATTAGTACAAGGTTAGATGTACTTTTAGTCCTTACCAGATCTGGTGTACTGGTGTGTGTGAGGAGTGTTGATTTGCTCCTGAAAATATGTGCTAGACCATCACATTCATGAATGAGCATAGCTTTATGTGTAAGTGCATTTAGCCCAGATGTTTCCTCTGAGGCAGATGTCATTGAACCATGGCTTCCCTTTCACTGACCACTGAAGCTTTGAATTTCAGATCTCCAGTAGAAGAAAGTTATTTCTGCATCTCTCCAGAAAAGTCGATGCTCCCTGTTGGAGCTCCACTGAAGCTCTTGGGGTCTTCCAGTCCATGTAGCCATATGGATGTGCAGTGCCTCTGGAGTTGCTTCCCAGGGAATATGATGAATGCCTAAGCTACCATTCTGCAAATGACAGCCCACTTCTTCTGCCTGTGATGGAAGCTTTCCTGCTCAGTATGGAAAGCAGCACCTGAATACCTGTGTGTCCTTTGTGCTACACCCATACTTGATCTAGCTCAAGTATGTGAGCTCCAGTCTGAGAGGCACTGGACAGCAAACAGTGTGTGCATGTAATAGCTGCCTCTTCTGTTTTGTTCCTTTTTTCTTACTTCCTCTTTCTTTTTTTTCTCTCTTTCAAAGGTCTCTCACACCTGATGATGGGTGAACAAGGTATGTCCTTCTACTTTGTTTCGGTCTCTCACTGTGAAAAGAGCTTTGTGCTTCTTTCCTGAGCTCAGCTTTGCATGATAAAAGGAGCCGGACTTGCTGGGTGCCAGTCAAACCATTTGCATTTTTGCCTGGGAATGTAGCTTTTTGTCAGCCTGGGACCCAGGAGTGAGAGTCTAGGGAGCGTGAAATGATTCTGCTGACAATAAGGAAAGCTGTTTTCTCCCTCCATGCAGACCACCTGAGTTCCCATTTATTTCTTGTGCCAGCTGTAATGACTCCCACTCCTTGGAAAATGTAAACCTCAACGTTGGTCTTTAAGAGTGCAATTATTACAAAAAAAAAAAAAGTTAATAGCCTTCATGGTATGATCCTACTTCATTATGAATCCTGAGGAAAATTGTGTATAATGGCCTGTAAATCCTGTATCTGCAATTTAAAATAAAGAGAACACAGCACAGAGAAAAAACGGTTTAGAAAAAGAACAGGGGTAACCCCAGGCTGGGCTACAAATGGGATCTATGCCTGTATCAGAGTTCATGTTGTAATATTTCAGACTAGACCATGTTAGGAATCTGTTGTGGCATGATGGCATCATTGACCCCTTTTTGCATTAGTGGGTTGTGGCGCAAGAAGCTGATGAGCAGAAGTGAGGCAAAAAGGAGGTAATTCTATTTTCTTCAACAGTGTCAGCATCTTGCTTACACAGGTACGCAGGGAGGAGTTAAAGTATTGGTGATGCATTCTGATCTTGTGAATGCACCTGTCAGATTGTTGAAATCTTAGTTGAGGTGTGTGAGGAGAGAGACATGAGAACAGGACAAGGAGACTTGTTTTCCAAACACTCTGTGATAGAAAGACCAGACTCGCAATTTGTCTGTGGAGAAAAAATGGGAATACTGCTTCTGAAGCCCACTGTGGCTTTTCTAGACTAGATGTACAGAATTGAATTTTTGCCACATCCAAAAAACACAGTGCTTGTAAAGGCTCAACAGTAAGTAGTTACTTGAATTAAAGGGGCATGATATCTCAATGAGACATAAGAGATACTGAGGACATAAGCAGTTGTTGTTCTGCAGTTCAAGGCAGATGTCTCCTATGAGGTCATTAAAGCTTAAGAAACAGAAATGAAGCTGGAACTCAATGTTCAGTGAGTTAGCATTCCCATGTGGTAGGAAATTAGTCTCTTAGGGACCGGGCGTCAAGACCATGGTACTTGCTGTGTGAAACATCTGGCTAAGCTCTGGGAAGCAATGAGCTACTTCTGTGACCTCTTACTGTTCAACTGTAGTCATGGCTTTTGATAGTCAAGAAACCACCCTTATTTGTCTACAATGTGTCAGGGAACAGTGGATTCTCTTTTCTTGCCAAACAGCTCATAAATATTCCCTTTTAATATTTAATCTCTAAAAAAAAAGGTATAAAATATGTAAATGTATATATGTGTAAATATGCAATGTCAACATTATATACAAACACATTAGTTTTGGTAGATTAAATGTGTCTAGTGAATATATTATCACAATATTTATTTTTGTCTGTCCTATTCTGTCGTTTCCCTTGCTGTTTTGAATTTGATGTGGAATGGGGCATATCAGTGCGGTGCTATTGCATGAGAACTTTGCATTTCTCAGTAGAAAATCAAGTTAAAGCCAAAGGGCTTAACCAGGCAGTTGCTGGTTTTGCAGTCACTTGTTTAAGCCTTGCTTTGTGCTTTAGTCGTGACTTTTGTTGTTTTTCCCTTAAGATTCTGTTTTGTTGGGTTTGATTGCTGTATAAATATATTCATTTTCTTGTTTTCATATGTATGGCCAGAGGTATAGTGATAATTTTTTTTTTTTTTATGCTTCTTTCTCCTCTTGCCTACTCCATGATGGACACCTCTCTTCCTCCTCTTAACTGGATACGCACCTTCCTGTCTATAGGTAGAAGTAAAGGTAGAGATTGCATTCTTTATAAGACTCCATTATTTGTAAATTGTTTGTCAATGGACAAATTGTACTTTTGTGAATGTGAATCATCTTGAAATGTAATGCTGTTGCTTTAAAAAAACATTTGGCTTTGTATTATGGAAGAAATTATTAAGATAAATGCTTTGAGGCCTTTCTCAGAGATATTATTTCCTGCCTGTGCAGGCTGTGTGCTGCCATGCCGTCTGCAACTGATAATGCTGGGGCAAAGTGAGAGAGTCACTTGAGTCAGATGGACCCAGGGCCTGTGAGCTGGTACTGGTGACTCTGCTGGGAATTTTGACCCTGGTGTGGGGGGAAGCAGGACTTACTTTTGTCAAGTGCTCTTCAGCCATGGAGGTTTTTGGTAGTATCATTTCTCCATCTCTGCTTTATTTTCCTCTCCTCTCCTGTGAGCAAAAAGATGTGTGGTTTTTTTGTTTGTTTTTTGTTTTTTGAAGGAGGAATTGAGTTGCAAAGAGCTGCAGAATAGACAGGAATGATCAGCATTGCTAAACAGAGAGCCCGTTTGCTCTGCAGCTCAGTACAGCACAGTGCATGAAGTGGAAAGGCTGCTGTGGGGCTTCAGACTTGCTTTTCAGCATTTCACACCTATCTCAAGCAAGCAGAGGGCATTCATTCATCCTTAATCAAAGCTGTCAAAAATGCAAAATGCTGCAAACCTGCTGTGGGTCTCCAGTTGGAGTGGAGGGTGGGAAGGGAGAAGATTAATTGATAAATTACGAGCACTGCTGCTAGGATAAAATCCATTTCTTCATCCTACTTTCCGATGAGATCAAGAGATTAAAAGGTTTTATTATGCTGAGGCTTACACATCTTCAACTAATATACTGCTGAAGAGTCTGATCTATCTATCAGCAAGATTGGATCACACTGGAGGATGTTCGTTGTGTCCATGGCAGTAGGACATTGGAGGATAAAGTGACTAATTGTACTATGATATATTTTGGAGGATATGACAACTCAGGATTTTTTTCATCTTAAATTCTTTTGAGGCACTAGGATTCTCTTCCCACTTATTGCTACTCCCTCCATACCTGAATTCTGGGGAGCACCGTGGCTTATTTAACACTTCATGTTATTCCTCTTTATGAGGATTTGCCCTCTTATAACAAGTTTGTGTTGCTAGATTCTTTGTGATGGAGTACCTCACATAATATTATTTGTTTTGTTTGAGGTTGAAAAAATATTCTAATTTATTTTGTATCTTTTCTAACAAACATTGAAATGGGGTAAAAAAGTTATGAAATTAGTAGAATATTTTTTCCGAGGATAATACATGAGCTGTACTCAGAGCCATCTTAGCGAGAGGTGAGCGTCAAAACTTGATAATCACATATACACATGATTTAAAAAAAAAAAAAAGTGAGAACCTAAAGCTGTAAGCACACCATACAAAATGTTATTTTTATCAACACAGCTGCCAATAACTGAGTTAGCTGATGTGTGGCTTAGTGTGATTTAAGGGGAGTGTAGGTTAGGACAAGTTGTGTACAGTGTGGTGTCAGCTTGTTTCTTCCTTTTCTCAGGTGGCATTTATGTTGCAGGACAGTGTGTAGGACTAAATGAAAAGCCTCCTCTGAATGAAAACTGCCACATGAGATTATATGGATGAGGATTATAATTTATAGTCTGCAATTAATTTGTATGTGCTAAAACAGTTTATTGAGTCTCTAAGTGAAAATATTGTTTCTGTTCCCAGCTATGTGTAAATCTTAGCTCTACTTACAGCAAGTGACTTCATCAGCGAACCGTCACTCTCTGACACGTGATGTTACCTTCAGAGAACTCAAGCTGTACAATTCTGAACCCACACGTGGCCTTCAGCTCACAGAAAGCAGTAGCACATGCTACCAGATTATAGCTGGAAGGTTCATATTTTTGGCATTCTCATAGTTGTTAGCAAAAACAGCTGCCATGTCTCATGCCATGTGAGTGGACAAAAGGTATTATGTATTTGATTTCATAATGCCTCTTCACAAGGTGTAGCAGCCTGTGACTTTGCATTCATCATTTGCAATGAATCTTTCATTATTTGCTTCCACTTAGTAAATAGCCTTCTTTTGCATCCTTTGCTTTTAAAAAATTCTTTAAGTTCTTGAAAAGCTGAAGAAGATGAAATTGTAGGTATTTTAGGGTAATGGCTGGTGTCATTGAATAAAGAAAAGCATCTATGCATCATTTATATTGAGTTTACATTAAAATTTTTGTGCACTGTTCGTGTTTTTATTAAGTGTATGAAACTGGTTACAGAGATGAAGTAAACGATGGTCAGTAAGGATTTAGTTTGGTGTGAACTGCTGAATGCAGCTGTTCTCCTGAAGATAACTAAGGAACAATTATTTTGAGTTTATCTCTAACAAGAAAATGGTACTGAAGGAGATGGTAAATATCCAGCTGTAATTTGCTATTGAAGTAGAGGTAACAGTCACATTCTTCCATATCGTTTGCTCTCTTGACAGCCTTTGTTAAAGAAATTATAATTTGTGCTTTTGCTACCCTTTCTTTTTCATATATATATAGTGGTTTTTATTTTTTCACCACTCTTGGTTTGGATCTTGCTTTTACTGAGATTGGTGCCTCCAAAGGAAATCGGCAGTATTCTTGATGGGACACTGCACTTCCATGGTGTTGCTCTCTTGGGAGTGAATTTCAGCTAATTGATGAAGTCCTGTGTCTTCTTGAAGGAAACTGTGAATAGGACTGCATTTAGAGAGCCAAGATTTCCCCAAACGCTTAAAGTGCCCTTTGTGTCCTCTGAAACAAAGAATGACAGTGAGGTGTGCTGGTTGCTGGATACCTGCTCAGCCTGCAGGTTCTGCCCTAAAGCTCTGGGTCCTTCTTCTAACATCACTGTGTTCAAAATGACCAACTATGAGGCCACATGCTGATTTTTCAACACAAAGCAGTTTTTTCTCCGTACTTTTTCTTCCTTGTCAGAGATAAACAATGAAGTACTTGCATATTTCCTGGATGGGGTATTTTGGTTGCATGTTGTGTAGACCAGAGGTTACTGTCAAGTTCCTCACTTAG